TCGGCCACGGCCAGCACGTTGCACAGCGCCGCCAGGTGCGCCGGCGGCAGCAGCGCGCGCAGGTACTCGGCCGGGTCGGAGCGCGCGGCGTCGGCGGCGGCCGGCAGCGGGAAGGGCGCGCCCGCGCGCCGCGTCGCCAGCTGCAGCCCGAAGCGCGCGCAGCCCCCGCCCTCGCGCACGGCGCTCGACACGAACGCCGACGATGACAGCAGCACCTGCAAAGACAGCAGCACGCTGCTCTTGGGATGCGCTCCTTCGCGGACGGGGCCATAATTCCCTACTAGATGGTTTTCCAATTATTCACTGAAATAGCGATGGCTTAGGCTCAATTACTCACACAGGGTGGTTTAGGCTCATGAGTATTCATGACACCTAGAATACGAGACAACACGGGGGTTTACAAAAGTTGCAGGAAGTAAAACCCTTAAAGTAATATTAAAAAAAACAGTGGTTTGCTGACCATCTCGGTGCGACAGAGAGACTTAAAACCACTTCACTAACCGTACCCATCCATTATACACGACTGATGTAGTGATGATTATTTTATCCTGACACTGATAAAGAAATGCCTAAAGTATCTTTAAATAACTTCTTTATTATGAGATTGTGCTCGTATTTGTTCCCTATCGCTCGTGGAAGTGGACATTAAAACTAGCCTTCCCCGACTGTGCGTGAAAGGGCAGGAGATGCGTGCTCACCTCGAGATCCCGCTCGCGGCAGCTGAGCAGGCCGAAGACCTCCCCGTAGAGCGCGTCGCTGCAGTTGTCGCAGACGACCAGGTGGCGCGGGCTCTTGCACAGGGAGGCGCCGGCGCCGGCGGCGGGGGCGTGGGCGTGGGCGGGGGCGGCCGAAGTCGGAGGCGGCGCCTGCGCCTGGTCCTCCGCCGCCGCCGCCGTCTCGTTCGCCGCCCCCGCGCCGGCCTCCGACGCCGCCGTCTCGTTGCTCTCGTCGCCGGCCTTCGTCAGCGCCTGTCGACAATTCGAGCTGCCCTCAATCCCTCCGCCGAGAAGACTTACTACGAACGCATTCAGTGGAGTGGATGCAATCACACGGTTCTGTTTCGGAGACACGCAGTTGGACAACCACTATTTGACACAACATGTACGCTTCCTGGATGAGGACGAGATTCGTTGTTCATTGCTCTGCATCCGTACTGTACATTTTAAATAGGGCCTTTTCTAAGAAGCTACAAATATTTGCACTCAAAGGCCATCAGAGTGATGCAAAGGAGTCAAAGAGCATTTTTCTGAGGCCGAAGCAACCGGCAAAAGCGACTTCTTCAAGACAGAGAGAAAGGGGATGACAAGGAAAGTAAGGTGCGCTCATCGGGTGGCATATTCTCGAATTGGCGGAAGTTTGCTGAAAATACGAATGCCACAAATACGGTTGGGTAGAGTGTAGAACTAATGAAACTCGCCTTATTAATACTACTTTGAATACAACGGTTCGCAAACATTCTACATGCTCGGTGAAAATGAACAGGGCCAAAAACCAAAACTTAAAAGGAAACAACATAACAGAACAGAAACCACGTATCTCGCCAGGTATTGGAGGTGAGTCAAAATATTAAAACCGATCGGTGTGCAAAAAAGGGACAAAAAGAGACACTTAGGTTGGAGCGCGTTGCTGAATCGGCAACGGCGTCCGTCGCTTCGATCTGCGCATTTCTCACAGATTCGTGGAAGTTATTAAATAAATTTCTCACATAGTGCCAAAGCCGTCTGCAGAAAATAAAGAGCAACTGGCCCGCGCCCCAAGGAGCGAAACTCTATGGGCCCACTACAACGTGGGAGGACTTCAGTGCATCGGCTTTGGTTATTTAGTTCGCATCGAGCGATATTCATTATTAGTTTTAAAAACTGACAATTTCTCTCGGGTATAATTTATGGGCAAGTTGTCAACCGATCTGGTTCTATCTTAACTACCCTCTAAAAGTGAAAATGTACACAAAAATGTGCAAATCGGAACATTTACTTTTAACGGGTTAAGGGGATAAATTTAATCATGTAATGCAGTTGTTTTCCTTTCTGAAGCTCTGGGCTAATCTGGTAAGGAAGTGAACTACCCCAACTCTTTGCAGGGTCAGAGAGACTGTTCTGCTGAACTTTGTGTAAAGCTAAAACACTGAACTAACAAGTAACTATCCACAACAAAAACAAATTATTAAAAGGTGTCGAATTAAACATTATTTCAGAAAAAAAAAAACGTTTAAGCGGTAGTTCACCGACTTCAATTCGCCGCTAAAGAGCTATTTACTGTTATTTTAGAACTCGCTGGCTGGAAAAAATAATCGTAATTATACGACACCTGACTACAGACGACTCCGGTTATAGTGAACTTTTGGGAACTTTCCAAATGACATATGAGATCCAATTAATTGCCAGGATTACCTTCACTATAGCAGGGTTATATTCAGGTTAACTATAACAGAATCTTCTTATGCTTATTTGTAATGTAAGTGAAGTGGGGCCAGTTCACTATAACCGGAGTCGACTGCATTTCATAGAGAGATTCCGCCGACCCGAAGGTTCGCGTGGGGGAACGCACCTGCGCGGCCTTCTTGACGATGCTGAGCACTGCGTTCTTGTAGCTCTCGAAGAGGTTACGCGGGGGGTCGCCGGGGCCGGCGCCCAGCGGCACGTCCTCGTCGTCCCCCGACGCCCCGTCCACGTCTTCGTCGTCGTCCTCGTCGTCGCCGTCCAGCCCCAGGCGGCCCGCGCCCGCCGCCGACCCGTCCTCGTCGTCCGCCGCCTGGTCCACCTTCTCCAGCACCTCGAACTCGCTCGTGCCGTACACGCGGAACAGCGACAGCGGGCAGAAGTGCTCGGAGCCGTGGTGGGACAGGATCTCCACCTGCAAGGGCGCTCAGTCACACCGACCCTTCCTGGCTGGTTGATTCATTATTGATTCTAGGCGAATCAAATGCTGATGCCATTAGAACTGCAAGTGTAATGCATGCTTTCCCTCTGGAGGTGGTGGTGAACATCCCCCGCTTGATAGTGAGATGTGGCGTCGACCTACACGTCGGCTAGAGGGATTTTCCCCAACCACATTTTCCCCTCCCACCAGCTGGGCACCGTCCCATGAGGACGAGATTCTAAGCTCCCAACCAGTATCACTCAGCATCTTTATGGATTTCACTCTTTACGTGTTATTAAGTGCACACATGTTTTGTTTTATTTCTAGCTATTGGTGTTTATTTACTGCCGAAATGTCTGTGCTTCTTTATACAAGACAGCGTCCCCAATTTTCCCAATGTTCACACATGTGAAGTTTGTGGAAATACCTGCAAAGAACCTTAAACACAAATTTTACAACCTAAAATTCGAAATCGTATTGTTGAGGTGACTCAAACACTTTTCCCGTCTTATACAAAAGCTAAGGAAGTAAAGGAAAATTGAAAACTTGTGATGAGACCTTTGGTTATTCATTTGTTACTAGTATTCTGAATTTTTAAAATCCCCATCCCCCTAGAATACGACCACAACCATCCGTCAAAACCAACCGCCCGTTCGCGCCCAAACGTTCTTCGGACGAGCCACACTGTCGGTGTAAAGGAGTTACTCTAAAAAGGAACCACTTCGACAGATCAGAAAACGAACGAACGTTTACAAAGATGATAACTGTGAAGGTGTGTCGAGGCGGTCGCCGTACCTTGACGTAGCGTCCGAACTGCTGCGGGCTGAGCGCGAAGCTCTGCACGGCGCGGTCCTCGCTGGCGGCGAAGTGGCCCGCGGGCCGCCACTCGCGGCCCTGCACGCGGTCGCTCACCGACACCGCGAACTCGCGCGGCGACGACGAGAACAGCTCGAAGTTGGCCAGCTCGATCTGCAAGACGACCGCCTCTTAGAACTTCCACTCTCTCTCTCACACACACACACATACGCAGAACAAAAAAGAAAAAGAACACTAGAGTCTGCGGGGTAAGGACTAGCACACCCCCATAGTACTAACTAATTCATTGTAAGAAACAAATTAGTATTAACTTGGCTGTCCGGGTGACGCCGCGTCCACGACGAAGGTGCCGACGTGGCGTTACGCCCTGAGGAAGGTCGCAGAATGGCGACCGAAACGTCAGCACATTCGCCATCGACGCGGTGTCACCCGGACAGCCAAGTTAATACTGACTCTGGCCTATGCTTTCACAGAAACAGATTATTTAAAACACTTGTTTTGCATATTATGAACTAATAGCAAATTATGTTTAAAAATTGATTGGGCGTAGGCTGTACTAGGATTTATTTAACCGTGCACTCGACGTAAATCAGGTGTTCACGATTTCATCCAACCGGGAGCTTGGACGTCCCCATAGTGACGTGACAGTAGCGACATATAAGCTGTAGTCGATCGGCTGAAACCACACCAGCTTATTTACGTCAAGTACACAACTCTAATTATCTGCGTATCCCGCTTATACAATGCGGCTGGGCTGGGCTGTCGCACCTTCTTGGCCTGGATGGCCTCGCACAGCTCCACGACGAACCAGATGCGCGTGGTGCACGTGTTGAGCATGTACTCGTCGCGCGAGGACGACAGCACCGCGCCGGGGCTCACGCCCTCGGGGTTGGCCGCCACGATCTTCGCCCCGCAGTCGGGCGACGCGTAGTTCTTGGAGCGCAGCTTCAGGGAGCTGCCGCCGGCGCCGCTGCCGCCCCCGCCCC